ACTTCTTCTGAACTGCGTCATGAAGTTGCTGGTGGCGGTCGCCTTGCCAGGCGCGGGCCCGCCGATGGCCAGGCCCTCCTGGCTGATCCTGAACAGCCTTTGAAGTAATACATTGCATTCTTCTCATTGAACATGCTAGCTGATATCATGTTACCTCCCAGCTCAAAACTAAGCGGTATCACGTTTAGGCTCTGATGTTCATAGGAATCCCCTAAAGCACACCGGAGTTCAATACTTCCGGGAAATTCTTGTTCCATTTTCCAGCTTATGGAACTATAGAGTTGCACTTGTTCAGGTCAAGACGGCGCGGAAGCTAGTGGTCCGTCCTGTATCCTAGAGTCGTGGCTAGTGTAAACTGTATCAGGTATAACAATGGAATACAAGAACATAGACAGCGAGGCAGGTCATGATAAGACTTGGCTGATGACATGCAAGTATACAAGTACGGCGCCCATACTAGAATACCGCCAGCTCGCCATCAGTACTATCTCTGCGAGGTTCGCGTGGACCTTCGTTTCTTTTCGCTGTTCGATCTGTTCTGTGTATCCCTGCGAGTGGCCCACCGGCACGCTCATTGAGGGGCTTCTGTGGGTGAGAGGCTGCTTCGTTAACATTCGGCCCCGTCTACCCCAAGGTGTTTTCCCGCCCTGGGTACAAGGAGCTACTGGCGGCTGACCTCACAGGGCCCCCCGTCTTGTAGAGGGCCATACACTATTGAAGAATTGGCGACGGTGACAGCTAACGCTAATTGTTATTCCGGAAGGATTGCCGGTGGCGAAGATATTTAGCACGATAAACTGTTACAAGTAATGTAAAGAGTATTGTTAGCGTTCGGCAGGACTTGAGGAGATTCCTGGTAGGAATACCGATCGTTGTGAGATAAACTAATAGGCGCAGTCACCGCCCTAAATACCGGCGCTAGCGGAAAACTCGTACATTCCGCGATCTAACTGCACGTACATTCCGCGATCTCACTGCGCCGTCCAGACGGTGCCCTAATGTCTATCACTTAGCTACCGGATATGCATCGGTAGCCCCATAAGGTTCTGGGGTAAGATTTCCCCATTAGTCAGGTGCAGACCCGGGGTCAAATCCCCTGGTCGACAACCACACGAGTTGGGAGAGGACCGTTTCCTCAACATACACAAGCTTGCCTTAAGGCGGCAAATCAGGTGGCCTTGTGATGATGGGGATTGGCGATGGAGGGGGCGGGTTCACGTGTGTGTCGCATTAATTCAGAGTACCGGCTGCCAGGGCTGATTAGGATGAATACCCAATGGGAGGCTTATTGTCTTAAACCCTTTGTGTGGTCTGGGTGGTTCCAAAAGGGTTACAAGGCAGCCGGCTCATACCGGCACAAGTCTCAAGGATGGTTGCAGAAGGATACACTGTATCCGCTCGACGACTGCATGCTCGGAGGGGAATGTGCTGTCAGTAGAGAAGCTGGTGGCATGGGTGGAGAAGAAACACATGGAAGCGAAGGCATGGGCGACAATGATGGCTGACACGTGTGTGTTAATTCGGTCACAATTGTAACCCTTTTGGAACAACCGTGTTTGTTATAGGGGATGGCGCATCTGGGCCACTCCTTTGAAACGTGGGTGCCGTCCACTTTGTGACCAGCAAGCACACATCAAGTGAACTGGACAGTCAGCAACCAGTCGTACTAGTCCCACCGATACTGCTGTGGCGGTGTCTGCCTCGCACCTTACACTGACGGGCAAGGTGTAACTCTCTTTCCAACAATGCAGAATGTGAAGCCATTTGAGTACTGAACCGAAACTCCATACGGGCATATGGACTGCCAGTGTGCCTTTACGCATATACGCCTGCATATGTATGTACATGCGTGCCATCTGTTGCACATGTGCATGGGATAACTTTCGTAGTCATTCGTTGTCAACCAGACAAGGGTGCATCCATCGGCCTCATTGCTGCGGTTGCTCAGCGGTTGGTGAAGTGTGTGTATGGCATGAAGTACATCAGCCCCTTTCGGTCCCCCTCCGGGGCGGCTGTGCAGAACTTGCCCTTCAGCTCACTTAGCGGCAGCCCTAGGTCCTGCCACATCTCCCACTGGCTGCCTGCCCTCGCTGTCTGGGCGGCCGCCATGTTGACCACCACCAGCCCCTCGCTGAACACCTGTCCCGAGTACACATCTGCGACAGTGAATCGGACATCCTGAGCGCCATCTTCTGCGGGCAGGTGGACGAAGTGCTTGAGGTAGGCCGCATACGTCCGAGTCTTGTTGCCGACTTCTGCCTGGTAGCATGCCCAGCAGGAGATCCGCTGCTGCTGGCGCCCATACTCAGCCCCGAAGTACTGCTCCTCGTCGAGTGCTCGGGCATGCAATAGGAGCGGGCCTGGGACAGTCAGGTGGTGTAGACATGAGAACCCTATCCAGGCGGTCCGTGTCCAGTTCGTAGCTCGCACTGGGACNCAATGTCCAGGAAGCCACATCCTCGAATGCCAGGGCATACCAGTGCACTAGGCTCGCCATGGCTGCCCGGACTTGTGCCACTCGTTCTGGACTCGGGTAGACCATGTGGCCTCGTCCAAGCAGGTAACCGTTGGCTCCTGGTTTATCAAACCAGGCAGCCTCGGTGTTCACTGCGCGCCGTGCCAACATCCTCTCAAGCTGCTGGTTGGTCGTGTGTTTGGCCCCGGTCCGGGGGTCTGCCTCGGTGAGCGACTCGGAGGCCCGCATCAGGCACAGCCACTGCGCGTAGTGCTTCTCGGGTGCCTGTGACACCATCCTTCCGCCTTGCGTCTTCATTTGCTGCATCATGCGTTCCACCGGCAGGTCGGAGTACAGCCAGCATACGCAGATATGCAGGTTGACCGTGAACATGTAGCCCGGCACCTCCAACTCCTCCAGCCTGGTCGTGTAAGCTCTGAGCTTGCATGCAGCCGCCTTGGCTGCCACCAGGAACTGCTCACGGGTCTCATCGGGGGGCCGCGGCCAGAAGTAGTGCGTGACCGTGCTGCACAGGCTCCAACACAGGGCCCGCAAGGCCTCGGGCAGCACGTCCCCCTTGAAGATGTAGCTGGAGAACGTCTCAACGAAGTGCAGCCAGTCCTCCATGCGGTAGCTCTTGCTGCATGGGTGGAGGGGGGCAGTGTGGCGAGCAACTGTGTAACTAGAAGAAGTACATTACATAGGTAGAGTAGCAAACTCTCTGACAGACGAAGGTGTTTTTTCCAGGCAAGCCCCTGGTCGTATTTGCTTTCTCGGCTATTAGCGAACCCCGTGTGTGGCCGGCTGCCCAGTGCTGGCCGTGCTCACCGGTACTGCATGATGCATTTGTACCGCCGCCCGAAGTCCGAAGTCACGACCAGGAACTGGCCGCGGGCCGCGACCCGCTGGCGTGCTTCACGAGACATGACCAGCTTGGCATCTGGGTCTGCTGGCTTGATGTCTTTGAGCGACCTCAGCGTGTAGTCCACAAAGTCGCTGACCACTCCGAACAGCAGGGCATGGCCGGTGGAGACGGTGAAGAGGCACGACAGGTCGACGTACGGCAGGGCCGCAAAGGCAGTCAGGCCCTTGCACCCAGTCTGGAGCGCCGCCTCATCGAACTGCTTCTGCGTGATCTTGTGTGGAGTCCCAAGGTGGAGCATCCTGTACATCGCCTGCATGACACTGCCCGCGCTGACGAAATGCCGATGGGTCTTCTTGAGAGCCCGGGCGCCGACCTTCAGGCTCTTGCCTGCATTCCGCTTTACGAAGTGCTGGCTGAC